TTGACGTGCGGTGTGACAGCGGCTCCAGGCCCCGCCCCCTAGCCGTGAACATCACCCCCTCCCCCCCGCCTCGGCGCTCGGCTGACTTCTGCGCTGCTCAGCCAGGCCGCCTCATGGGAGCAAGCGGCGCAAGCGACCGTTTGGGCTCCGCACCCCCCATGCAGCACGGGGAGTGTGGAGCCCAAACGGCCATTTGGGCTCCGTGGTCCCCCCGAGTGAGAGGCAGGCGGGGGAGGAGAAGTGAAAGAGAGAAACAGAGAGAGAGACCGGAGGCTCAGGAGAGAAGACCAACGTGGAGGAGAGACCTGAAAACCCCGTCTTATGACGGGCTAATTGGCTAGTATTTATTATAGTTCTCCATTCCATAATATCAGAGGATCAGTTTGCAAGAAGGGAAACCAAAGCCTGAACACATAAATTGCATATCGACCCCGGGCCATGCGACTAGCATGACTGCGCACACCAAAAACAGCAAGGCTCATCTCATGCTAAGCACACGGGAATGCAACCCAGGAGATTAGGGTTCCACTCCTAGCTCTGCCATCAGACCTCATTTAATCTGTGCCTCAATTTCTCATCTGTTACATGGGGCTAAGACAAAGAAAGGAGAAACTACTATAAGCATTTTGGGGCAGGTTCTTCATCTCCACCCATACAGCATCTAACATAAGAGGGTCGAGATCTCAGTCAGAACATCTAGGCAGTATTACTTACACTATGATTTGTAGTGTATTTGACAAGATGTCTCAATAGCCATTTGTCTCAAATAGCACTCTTAGCTATTTACACACACACCACTGCCCGACACGTGCAATCATATTAATTCCACGGGCAAATTCATACATGTAACTACATGCAAATCCCGAGTTACTTTTTTGAAAGTTTGGCCCAACAAAACACCAAAAAAACCAACCCAGCAAATTAAGTTTCCCAGAGTTAGGAAACTTCTTCATGAAGCTGCAGGAGAACACGGAAAGTTTCCACGTGTGCAGAAGTAATATTTCATAAACTGCTATCCCCTTTGTGCTCAGATATGATGGGCTGGGGCTTGGCTGGTCTGAGGAGAAACTGAAGGATGAGGATGAAGAAACTCTGCATTGTGACTTGAGGATTCTTTTAGGGAAACTTACCCCATGAGACAGACATCAGGAACGGCCTGTGACTTGCATTATCTAGAAACGCCAGTAGGTGGCGCTCTGTCACCAAGCCCAATATTACTCTGGTGTCCTGCAAGACCCAGCCAGTTCCAGAGAAATTGAGTCTGAGCAGAGGTAACATTTTGAAGCACAAAATCTCCAGAATCTGCCTCAAACTCAAATACCCTTGTCCCGCCTCCTTCCCCAAGGTCCCACCCCATCTCCTGTTCACTCCCTCTTCCACCCCTCCCCCATCCTCACTCTCTTTCACCAGGATGGGGGCGGGGGTTAAAGCGCTGGTCAGGGGACGAGATCTTTGGAGTGTGGGAGGGACTCCGGGCTGAGCCTGGGCCAGGGAGTTTAGAGCTGTGGCAAGGGTTTGGGGTGCAGGCTCCGACTGGACACTGCGTACCTCAGGTGGCTCTAAGGCAGCCAAATCAGGAAATGGGCCACTAACAGTTTGGCAGCGCAGTGGGGCTAAGGTAGACTGCACCCTGCCCTGGCCCTGTGTCCAGGCCCACTCCCAGTGGGAGAGGGGCAGAAGTGTGCAAAGGAGGCAGTTGCCCCAGGGCCTGACGATTCAAAAGGACCAGGGGCTCTCAAGCTGCTTCCACATCAGCAGCCAGAGCCCCAGTACCTTTAAATCACCGCTGGAGCACCACACAGTGCGTGCCAAACAGAGCTAAGGGCTGGCTGGGAGGAGGGGGGTGCAGCATGTGCTCTAGCCCCACCCTTTCCACCCCAGGTCCCACCCCTTCTGGGAGCACAGAGCTGCCCTGCACCTGGCCCCCCACCTTGCAGCTGTGAAACCAAAAACCTAGATCATATATCTCATTTTAAAACTACCATAGGGCTAATTACTCCAGCCCTGACAGGTTAGGCACTTTATAACTCACTACTAAAAGAACTCAATTTAAGCATAAGAGAGAAATAAAAAATTATGAAATGCACAGACCAGTCAAACCCCTAAAATAACACACTCTGAAAGCAGTAAAAGTAGTAACAAGTATGTGGTGGGTTGTGAGGTGAGTGTGAAAGACACACGCTAGCTACATCCACACTCGCATGATTTTCCGGAAATGCTTTTAACGGAAAAGTTTTCCGTTAAAAGCATTTTCGGAAAAGCACGTCTAGATTGGCAGGACGCTTTTCCACAAAAGCACTTTTTGCAGAAAAGTGTCCGTGGCCAGTCTAGACGCACTTTTCCCAAAAAAGCCCTGATCGCCATTTTCGCAATCGGGGCTTTTTTGCGGAAAACAAATCTCTGCTGTCTACACTGGCCCTTTTGCACAAAAGTTTTTCGGAAAAAGACTTTTGCCCGAACGGGAGCAGCACAGTATTTCTGCGAAAGCCCTGACAATCTTACATGAGAGCGTCAGTGCTTTTGCGGAAATTCAAGCGGCCAGTGTAGATAGCTGGCAAGTTTTTCCGGAAAAGCAGCTGCCAGTCTAGTGGCCACAGTGTGTGAGAGTTTTTCCGGAAAAGTGGCCAGTCTAGACACAGTCACAGTGTGTGAGAGCGACAAGGATTCCCAGTGTCCCTTTAAGTAGGCAGATCACGTTCAGACATATGAGCAGCTGCCAGCAGGCTCCTTCCCTCCTGTGCCCTATTGTGGCTCCCCTCTCTGGGGGCATGAAGTACAGAGGTGGGGGGAAGAGGACAGCACCTCCCTGCTCAGCCTCCCCCACCCTGCATAGCAAGCTGGAGACTCCTGGGGAGCAGCCCCAAGGCAGAGGGCGGGAGCAGCATGACAGGGGGTAG